CTCAACACAGTCCCGCACTAGGGAAACCCTGTGTCGCGGATGCCATGGACACACACATAGACACCCACAATTTACACCCAAACTCACGAGATAAATAAATGTAGGCCGTACAAATATTTCTCCCGACCCGGGAATCGAACCTGGGGCCTCTGCGCGGCAGTCAGAATAGTCACGGAGGCAGTTAAGCCAGGAAATGCACAAGGAATAATTAGTATCAATGAAATAATTATTATCATTATCAAACAATTGAATGAACTTGGAAATAAATAATTTGAATATTATATATAACATATACGCACACGAAACCAAATATTATTTTTATTTATTTATGTAATAAAGCATACCAAATAAATACATACAAATACGTTAAATACAGAAACGAACTATTTAAAACTAATGCTATGCTTGCATTTCAACTAAAAGTATGCGCAGCATTACATAAAGGTATTATTTTGGGTGCACGTGTCTTTGACGATGACCAGTCTGTCTACACATTTGTAACTAGAATATAGCTAGATCAAAAGAAATTTACATTCAGCAATTTGTATACTTACACATAGCAAAAACAGGTAAAATTAAGCAAAACTGCCGAGCTAAAGACAGTTAACTTCACTAGTAAAATATTTTTGGATGACATTCCTGAAGCTGTGATATTTATCACTAAAAATGTCCAATACACAATTTTGGAAAATTTTATTGTACCACTCATAGTGGAGTAAAACGGCGACCCATAATTGGTTTTTCTCAGTTCCATACCAAAAGATTTGTAAATATGCAGCCTAACTGACATTCTAGGTATTTTTAAGTGTATTTGGGACAGAAGGGATGGACAATCCATGTCATGATTTTGTAATTTATACAGAAAATTTAGGACCAGTTGCTTCTTAGGACGTTTTAATGATAATTATATTAAAATGAGTTAAGCTTCCACCATTGTTTCTGGTCGTTCGGTAAATGCCATCTACATGAGAAACTTTTTTAAGAAACTTATTCTCAATTTTCTTTCATAATACTTAATTATTTAAGTATGGTTTAATATCAATAATCGGATATGCGGGCGCTTATTTACCTGAACTTACTGGTTTTTAACGCCCATGAAGAAATAATGTGGATATGTCTTTCTGAATAAATGTATGTATTTGTAACGATTCTAATACCGTTACCCTAAAATATTATTTATGTACAAAATTTCATAGAACTTCTCGTAATAATGTTTTTTTTTAATTGAAAATGTTATGCATGCAATCTTACTTATAAGATGTTGTAAGTACCCATTCTAAACTGTTACGTTATTGTCGTGGCTTGAGGCCTACATTAAATATTTATATGCGGTGATAATGCCAACTACCGATCATTCCTTAGCAACGAGGTAATCACAATTTATCCAAATGACGTTACGCGCGTCTGTCATCTAAGTACATTCGATGTATTTTTGTCAGTATTCCTTACTAAACGTTGTTCAAAGGTTGTTTTGCAGTTAATTTGTAATTATTTAGTAAGTAATATAATTAATTAATCAATCCAAGAACCTGGAATTGACTAAATTAACTTGTTTATTAAAAAATAGTTTAATGTATTTAGAAAGTGGAGATAAAAGTGAAGTTTTAGGTAAGTAAATAAGCGCCCGATTATCCGATCACTAGTTATTATTTACACATAATACGTAATTAATTACCCATTTATAAACGAGAATAATACGACGTATAAATAATATGACAGTGTTTAGTTTTGTGTGCGATAACAAATACTAATTTTATGTCAATATGTATCTAAAATTTCAAACATATAGGTAGATTTCTTATTATCTGGATGTATTAACGTATTAATGTCCTTTGAATTAATAATGAAACTTCTATACGGGGAATTTCTGAACATCCGAATTTATCCTGCTCGGTTAAGTTATTAAAGGTTTTACCAATTACTAATGATAAGATAATATAATCGTCCAATGTAGCTGTGAATATTATTACCTTGCACCTCGCTTATATTAAAGCTTTTAAAATAACAACAATACATTTTTTTCTCCTTTGCTGACGCACACGACTGACGTGTTTTTTGCCATGAGCCGGAAAAATGGGATCCATTTATATATCCCTGGGCGACACTGCAATGCGCTGTATACTCTACGTCTGCAAATTTGTCTGCTTTGCACGACCCACCCGCACTGCGGGTAGCTTATGCCATTATTGTATAAAACACTTTTTAAATAATTTGTAATTCTATTTCATCTTCAATTGATCTTCCCTTTGAAGAAGATTTAAGCCATGCAGGTCCAGGGAATTTCGAAGGCTTTATAACTATTCTATTGTTCTATAAACAATAAGCAAAGTTTTCTTTCGAGATATCTCTTAACCATTGAAGTAAATTACCAATGAAATCCTCAAAAAGACAATACCTCAACGGCACGAGATTTTGTTATTAATCGTCTAGAAAGCAATGTACATGCTTCATTTAATAAATAAAATGAAATGGCAAACAATTGTAATAACATGTAAAATATAACAGCACAGTCTGCATTGTGCTAGCTTGTCTACCTAGCACGGATGCAGGTCACAAAGATAGCTGCATTGAGCCATTTAGTTCTATTCATGAATATATCCGAATACTTTACCAATAAAGGCGTTCATATTGTACTCGTGTGACCCAATGAGAAGCTGAGACATCGGAAGTGAACGTTTTACTTTGTAAGAATCTACTTAGTTCATGGCACAGGGTTTGCGCTCGAACGGGAACCTTATGAAATCTTTTTTCTCAATCTTATTTCTTTCTAAACGTTTATCATACACGTAAACAATATTTCGTCTTCCTCGTAGTCGAATGTAGTAGTAGTAGAAAGTTGCTTATTCTGGCTGAACATATTTTGTGTGGTATTTAGGGAAATAGGTCACACAATGCAGGACAACTGCTGTATCCGCATATCACACTTACCACTTACAGTTACAACATGACAGGATTCAGCAGAATCTTACTACTTAGTACAACACTAACAGCTAACTTTTTAAGACCAATCAAATCCATGATTTACAATTCATTTTATGCTTGAATTGGAATCTTGCTTTATATTTCAAGTTCTTAGGATTTAAAAATTCTTCGAAGTTTCTGGAAAATTGGGTTCACCGTCGTTGTGAAAAATGTTTAGAATTTAAAGTTGTCTTTCTCTTGTGAGGTTACTGAATAGACGATTAACGAGAGGGTTGAAAGTACCTGAATATCCAGACCGTAGCCGCACCGATCGATGTAAACGGCTAGACCGCGACAGTGTTTATTGTCTTTGAAGTGATCTTTTTTGGAAATGTATTATTATTTATGTATTAACGAAGTTTGATAAACTTTTAAATAATTTGTTTGTCGGTTTTGTTATGCTGGTAGAACACGAATGATTAATAATTGGCGTAATATTTTGCTTATACCATTTCTTACTTTAAAAAATGTGTTGACATACCTTAATATTCCCTTATCCGTCGTTTAATCACCTTGGTGGTCTTATTTTGAGGTCTAGAATCACGTGACGGGACGTTCGTACCTTCGATTCGTCCGCTATAAATACGATTCGACTTGGCCGGCCTCTCGCTTTGTGCGCCAATCAGCTCGGCGATTTAGCACTTGGAGCATCCTGTCATTATGAGCCTGGCTCCAGCTAGTGGCAGGGGCTGATAGATTGCGACAAGACGTCGCCACGACTTCTTACAATTGATTAAGTGCATTGAATCACTTTGGGGGCTTCAAGTTTAAATTTATTTGAAACTGTGTCAACTAAAAGAAACAAAATAGTTTGTACCCTATAATTAAACATTGGTGAGATTTTTAACCAATCAATAAGTAATTAACAACTAGTGATACGTTATTTGAAAGAATTTTCTAAATTGTTGCAGCATGAAGTCACGGCGGTGGTGCGGATCCCGCATGGAAGCCCGGCGGGCTGGTGAGTTGGCGCTGCACTCGTTGCGCGCGCAATATCGCCGCGCTCTACCGGAATGGACAGCGCGCGCCTCTCGCCGCCGCCGGTCGGCGCGCACGATCGGCCGGTCCAAGGAGGACCCGGCGAAACCCTCGATACCCCGTCGCGTGACGCGGACGCCTTAAGCGAGTTGGCCTCGCGGTCCGCGCCACGCGTGTTGTGCCCCATTCCCGAAAGTGAACCGCTGCTGCGCGACCCGCTTTCTGTCCCCATTGCGCCTGCCGCAGGTGCGCTCGTTGATTCTTCACGCAAGCAGAATGGACGACCGCTACATGTGAAGTTCGACGCCCAGTCGCCGCCGGCGCCCGTGTCCGTCGGGTCCAGTTCCAGCTCGAGCTCGAGCGACGATGAGGACGTCTCCATCACGGAGGCCCGGCCCCCCGACGGCGGGTGGGGCTGGGTCGTCGTCTTTGCATCGTTCATGGTTAATCTTATCGCCGACGGCATTACGTTCAGTTTCGGCGTGTTTTTCACACATTTTCTGGAGTACTTCGGCGAAGGTAAAGGCAAAACTGCCTGCATTGCCGGCATTTTTATGGCTATGCCACTGCTTTCGGGACCCATAGCCAGCTTCCTCACGGACAGGTACGGCTGCCGACGAGTAACCATATTCGGATCAATATTATCAGCTATAGGATTCGTTATATCCGCCTTCGTAGATAACATGGAAACTCTATTCCTCACGTTTGGAATTATGGCCGGATTCGGCTTAAGTTTATGTTACGTAGCGGCAGTTGTCATTGTCGCTTATTATTTTGAGAAGAAGCGCTCCCTAGCGACTGGCATATCAGTATGTGGGAGCGGTATTGGAACCTTTATATTTGCGCCACTATCAAACCTTCTACTAGATGAGTACGGGTGGCGCGGAACAACGTTGATATTGGCCGGACTGTTCCTCAATATGGCAGTGTGTGGTTTACTGTTCAGAGATTTACCTTGGACTGCCACGATGAACGAAGAGAGAGCAAGGGAGAGAAAACGTCGTCGGGAAAGAAAACGTAACAAGCGATACGGATCGTCTGTGGACAGTTTCTCGGACAGTAAAAGCAGTGCCGCGGGGTCGACGAAAGTGACCGAAAATGTGGGTATAGAAGCAGTAACTTCCCCAATAGTTCCTCAGTTTAGTTCTTTAGTCGATCTTCCCACGTTCATGACGGGTGGGGAAGGCGTTTCATTAGAAGTGTTTGAAATGATGTCGAATCGTGGTCGCGCCTACGCTATTATGGCGCAAAATTACCCCGGAGTAATGCTGCCATCGAGAAGCTTTAGTGATAGTGGTCGTTTGAACGAACAGTCCCCTCCCAGAACTATGATGTCTCCTACTGTATTGTCTCCTGGAGCGACGTCTCCAACATCAGCACCTACAGCGGACGGAGCCGGCGCTGCCCCACCGTTGAGCGAAAAAGCTGCATTATCGTTATGGTTGAAGAGGCAGCAGGCAGGCGGGTCGACGAAGAAACCACCGGCCTTCCTAAAAGACCTACGAGTGCATAGGCATTCGCTGACATACCGTGGCGCCATGTTGAACATCAACAGGTACAGGCTCCGTGCTTCGTCCTGCCCCAACATCTTCAGGAACTCAATGACGACCATTGCCAAAGAAAAGGTAAGAATCATCAAATAATTGTACGGAATATTTAAAACATACCCATTTATCCTGTTAGGAGGAGTAAAACTGATCAGACATGATAGCCCAATGGTTTGAACTACGGGTTCGAATCCAAGCTCGTATCGCTAAGTTTCTCAGAATTTATATGAGAAATTTAATTTGAAATTTACCTTGAACTTTTCGGTGAGGGATAACATCGTGATGAAGGTTCACAACTCTCGGAAAACATGTGAAGTCCCTAACTCGCATTGGCTAAGTGTGGCGGACTATGGTCCAAACCCTCGTCAGAGAGGGGACCGGTCCCCAGCAGTGGAATGTATAAATGGTTAGATGATGATGATAATGAAAACGGATACTAAGGTACTAGTGAAGGATGAATGGTTGTCAGTGCAAACTTGGATTACTATTGTTCTATTTCAATTTCAAATTAGAGTTTTTAACATAACCTATAATGGTAAATTCCAGGTGCAATGGTACGCTGGTCTTTGGGATTTCTGGGATCTAGTAGTGGATGTAATGGATTTCTCGCACTTCCGCAACCCCGCGTTCCTACTGTTCGCGATGTCCAATTTCCTCTTGTACATGTGGTACGACGTGCCGTACGTGTACATCGCTGACAATGGACTTAAGAAGGGTTTCAACGAGTCGCAGTCTTCCATGCTCATTTCTATTATTGGGATCGTTAACATGTTTGGAGAGGTGAGTAAAATTGTCTGTCTTTCTATTTATATCTGTAAAACTAGATCTAGAGTCGTTTCACATCAGGATTGACTATGTATAAAGATACTTACCCAATTGTATGATACATGATATCCTTTTCATGTTATAAAGCATAGTTATTCAATCATGTTAATCAATTAGGGGGCGTTGATGCTATCCAGGGGGTGCTACGGCATTTGAAAAAAAAAACCTGAATTATGTGTATAAGCATGGTGGTAACACACGCCACGCTTACCCATAACAGTGGCAGTGTTACACAGTTTTAATCGGAAAGATGTGCGAGGCACTGCCATTGCGTTCGCCTGTAATCTCAGCAACACCCTTTCTCACTTTGTATGTATCTGTTTTTTATGATCACATATCATGTTACTTCTTCTGTTCTTAAAATTGCGATTTTAGGCACTCTTGCTCTTAGGCACTTATTTGCTAAGGATATTGTAGTGTCAGGAATATTCCGTATCAGAATTCCAATAGCCCTTATCGCAATTATATTATAAAACAATGAGTGGCGCGTCACAATTAAATCAATTTAAACCTTATCTATATTATCCGAGTACATTGCTTACCTTGACCCATTTCCTGATAATTGTATTATGTAATTTACAAGTTGTTAATTTACATGATACTTGAACTCGAGTGGCATTTTGCTTTTCTTTTAAGCAGAATGAGCTGTAAAAACGTTCCATGTGGCGACTTGTACTGTACTGCCTTAGAGTAAAAGAGAAGGCTCGGTCTACAAAAATTTATTAGAAGAACAAAAGAAACGCTGTAACAAAATAATACAATGGTATAAAAAGGGCACAAACAATAGAAAACACTCGCTACAAGCACTAAGCATTCGAACGTGCAGGTGCTTACTCCAAGAGGGCCTATATGCCTATCTTTACCCCCGGACTCATAATACGAACCACCTCGCAATTCTGTCTTAAAGGGCTAGAATACAAAAGTAGTGTTATCGTCTAAGATAAAGTTGTTCCACGGTTTTACAAATACAAATTTCCAACATGGATTTATGAAAAAGACGTTTAGTACACTAGTTTCAAAATTGCTTAATAGTTTTTGATCAATCAAACATTGTTTAAGTTTAGGGCATTTAATACTGAAAATGCGAGGTGGGTCGAATTATGTGTCCGGGAGTGTACATCTAATGCTTTAAAAACAGTTTATAAATAAGGACGTCCTCTCGCTTTGAGAATTTTGATGAGAGCGATGATGGAACGAACCAAAGTATGAATAATGAAGGAAAAGGAATTCGGGAATTATTCGGGAATTAATAAAGAAGGTGATGCAAAGGTGAGATGACGATGAAGAAGGTTGCATCGTACTGTTAGCAAAGTTATCTGAAGTAACACACAGCATTAACACAACGTATAAAGAACGCACGTCTGTCACTCATCTCAGCTCAGGTCTCATTAAAAACCAGCGCCACAGTCGATTGCGGCTGTGGCATAAGCTGAATGAAGTCCTTTTGCGTACGCCACAACCGCACACATGACAGTACAACGTTTGTAGTTGTTATATTTAGTACTTTTCTGTTTTGCTCTTTGTTTGTTATTGTCTTATTTCATTTTATTTTAATTTTGTTAATTACGTCTTTTTGTTTTGTTTTGCTTGTCTAAGTAGTATCAATATTTTTTTTTTTGTATCTATGTGTTGTGGCGTTGCAATAAATGTCTATTCTATTCTATTCTATTCTATTCTAAGTGATGTTTTACATGCAGGCAACCACGACCCTGGTCTTGACATTCAATTTCTGGTAATAAATAGGTACTAAAAAAATAAAATTAAAAAAAAAAACAGTACGTCAATAATTAAACAAAGAATTTTGACAAGGTGTAGTTAGTTGCAATCACATAATCAGCTGAACAAACACGAACACACGGTTTGTCCACGTCAATTCCACTAAACAATAAACCGGAGTCGAAATAGGTCACTTCACTACATCGGAAAATGTGCCAATCTTGCGTCACATTCGTTATGTTTATTCAATCGTCGTTTAAAAATATATTCTCTCTTTAAGAGAAGAAAGACATTTATTTGTTAGCACAAATGACAACACAGGAGAAAAAAGATTCTCATTGGGCTCAACTTTATTGTATTTTTATCAAGCTACCAATGAAAACAAACAATTGATCATACCACATCAACATTTTAGTAGGATACACTGAGGTTTGGATAAAAACGTACTTAATGTAACTTGTGTGTGCAATGAAAATCGTTACAAACAGCCGTAAAACAGTTCCACGCGAACGAAGCGGCCGGCCGTAATTATTTCTATGACTTTACAATCCAACAATACAAGATTATCAACATATTGTGCGATAAGAATAACAACCGAAGCTGCAATCGCATTTTATTGTTATGGTATTTATTTATATAACCGTGTTTATTTAGCATTCGTATGGAGCTATTTGTCGTTTGCGGTTTTGTCATTATGAGACGCACTACGATACATGTTAAGTTGGTACTATTGTGTACACAAATCTCTACATTTAATTTGTTGGTATAATAGGTCAATGCTTTAATGCCTAAAGACTTTTGACGTATCTATCTTCGTTTTCTAAGCCGGAAAAAGAATTTGTGTCTAAAATTAATCATCATCATGAGGCATCATTTCATTCGGTCGTTTTTTGAGCAAAGCAATTTAATAATACCTTTGTAGTAATTAAGTACGTTATGTTTTACCTGTACATTCAGTACCTATTAACTTTAAAAAGTAAAATTTCTATTTTACACCACAAAGACAATAGCGATCCTTCCAAAGCAACAGTAAAAGGATTTTTATACGTATAAAAATAACATGTTTATCGTTTAGTTTGTCATTTTATTGTAATGTGGTTTTAAAAAAATGTTTATTATTACTGCTTTTTGTTTACCTAATTAAAAAATAAGGAGTATATATGTCTTATTTCTTCAACTATTCTGTAATTTGCGATATGAAGAAAATAGTTTACGTCCACTGCTTTTTTGTTTACTATGGTCTAATTAAAAAAAAAAAAAGAAGTATGTGTATTGACGACCTCGGCGGTCCGATGGTTTGCACTGAATGCGGAGTTCCCAGTTTCGATTCCCGGTTGGACCAATTGGGGAAACTAACTTGGTTCTGATCTGGATGTTCTGGGAAGTGCCCCAGAGTCGATTCCGTTGCTTAGGTACTCTTAGTACAGACAATTAATCAAATAGAGCGATAGGGAAGTACTGCCACCTTACCTATTTCTGTCGCCAAGCAGTAATGGCAGCATTGTTTCTATTATAATATCGTCTGCTTAAAGGTAAAACCACATAAGCGACTTTTTCCACAAGAAATCTCCAAATTATGTACCAGTTGAAAGAAATTCACCATCTTTGTGCACATAAAACTCTTATTAAGTGATTTTCTTACCATAACTATACAAATTAAAGACTTTTTGTGAAAAATGTCGCTAATGTGGTTTTATCTTTAAACAGACGATATAATAGGATTTTTTATTCACTGACACTGGCGATGATCGCCGTAATTTTTGTATAATTTTTATAAAACTGACACCACCGAGTACATAACCAGAAATAGAGACGAAATAAAGGCCATATATTCCTGGTAACACATTAGCGATACAGCTCTTATAAATATCAACTCCTGTTTGCACTGAAATATAGACAGGCCAACTACTGACCTGTGTGTAGGTCTCCGTATATTACAAAAAATATTCTGTATTTATTGTAATAAAGATAATATCTCTAACAATGCCGTGCTGTTCTATTCGGTGGCGTGGGAAAAACAGCAAAACATCTAATTACAAAAGAAACGGAATCAAATTTCATCGGTAATTAAATATTAAATATGTAATTTTGCAATTTTCGTCCATTATAGCAAAGCTCAAGTTAACTGGTCGATTTGAAGTAAAACAGTTGACGACACCCATTGACGACACCCGTCAGTTGTTTCGAACTCGGGCTAGCCAATCGGAGCGCAGTTGTGACAGTAATGATATGGCAGAATAGTTTTCAAACAAATTAAATGACATTTCGTCTCTATTTCTGGTTATATGCTCGATGACTGACACTGACACAAGCCTAGTGGTCGTCATTAAGGGAATAATAATAATACACGTACAATAATAATACATAGACATTGGTAAACATAGTATTTTGTTTTACTAGTACATTTATTAAATATCACGACAATCAAGAAGGTATATTCATCGAGATAATTATTGCCATCATTATCATTTAGAACCCTGCTTTGAACTCATGTTTAACCCGTTCATCGTCTAACAAATGTATTATTATCAATGATACCTATGTAAGTCCGGAACACTTCATCCTTATATATTTATTTTATTTATTTAAACTTTATTGTACAATACACTGAAGTACAAATGGCGGACTTAATGCCAAAAGGCATATCAACCAGTCAAACAAAAAAAAAACACAATAGGTTGTTGCTACACTTAAACAAGAAGAACAATATACTAGAAAGCTAACCGATAATTTGTAGGGTATAAATAAATAACATAATATAAACATACTTATACGTACATAATAAACTTACATGTATATTATAATAATAAATAATAATAATATGTGTACTTAAAGCAACATTATACAGTCTTGATTTCGACAGTTGCCAAACACATGCTTGCGCAACATGCGCTTGATTTGACTTTGTCTTACATGGAGCGGGAGCGCGTTCCAAAGACGAATTGCATGAATGGTAAAAAACTTGGACAAAAAAACAATCCTTATGTCATTATATTAAGCGCTTTGCTTTACCTTCCCGGATACTACCAGCAAAGGAATTAAATACACTATCGGCATTTGTGTCCCCCGAATTGAAGTTTTTATTTGGCTCAGTTTCATGGTACTGTGCATTACACTACAATGTTTTAGAATAAGTGTGTAATAACCATAACAACGTATATCAACAAATGTATGTCTGAATTCCAGATCATCCTAGGCTGGGTCGGCGATTGGGAGTGCGTGAACCCAAGCATTGTGTACGCGTGCTGCATGTTCTTTTGCGGATTTGTCACCCTCATAATGCCTCTTCTCGAGGGCTATGTCGGTCAGGCCGTTGCCGCTGGCGCCTTCGGAGCCTTTATTGCAGCTAACTATTCATTGACATCTATCATTCTGGTGGAGCAAATTACGCTGGAGAAATTCACTAATGCGTATGGATTGTTGTTGCTCATTCAGGGAATGGCCAATTTGGTTGGACCCCCACTAGCTGGTGAGTTATTTGCTTTGTACTGTTCATAACGCACTCTTGGTAGTAAAGTGACTTAATTCGAGAATTTTATTGAAATTACTATATCATAATTACATTTATATGCCAAGTGCAACTGGATTCATCCCCCGATTTGCCACTCTTAGAAGTTGAATATGGCCTTCAAATGTGAATGAGACCATTGCTAAAGTACCCCCTTTCCAACAAAAAAAGAATCATCGAAATCGGTTCACAAATGTCGGCGTAAACGCGTAATAGACACGAAAACGCCTTGAACACCGTCGTAGTTTTTTTTAATATATTATATATAAAAAATAAGTGCGCATTTGACCTCCATCTCACCGTATGGAAAGTGACGATGCGATCGACGATGAAGCCTTATTGGTGACTCGAAATTAGTAGAGGCGAAGCTACAGAGCCTTGAACACCGCCGTAAAGTTGCCTGCTTATCTGTATTCTACGGGATATATCACGGAGAGTTTGCAATGGAATGCATAATTTGATTCCGCCTTCCCCTTTCCATCATCGGGGGACTAGGCGTAGGCTGGGATTCCACCCCTATGTTGTGGATATTCCAAAGATTCGCACGAAGCGTTACGCTTCCACATTTATACGGCGAACGGCTAGGGAGTGCAATTCCCTGCCTGCAGATTTGTTGAACTTGAACCTTTTCAAGGCGAGAGTGAATAGGCATTATTTAGGTGTACATGCTACATCCTTGACCTCACCGTCACCTTCCATCAGGTGAGGTGGAGATCGAATGCGTGCTTATTTTTTTATATAAAATAAAAATTTCAGAATCAAAAATTTCGTTTCAGGCTGGGTATACGACATAACGAATTCGTACGACCTGTCTTTCTACCTCGCCGGGGTATTCATCGGTCTATCCGGCCTCATCATGGTGGTGCTCCCGCTGTACAAGCAGGCGGGTCGCATCAGCAAACTGTGCAAACGCAAGGCTGACGGCTCAGACAAGGCAAACGGAGATGTCAAGCAGAACGGAAAGGTTAAGCTCATTGTGTAGTTTACTTGTTTAATGGAGAAAGTTTGTTTGTAATAGTGAATTTCGAAGCTATGCCATCGTTATAACTACAGAAATTGAGTAACGCTGTTTAGTGCCGGAGTTAATTTATTTATGTAACTACACAACACATGTAATGTACAGACGGCAGCACATCAAGGTACACATTAAAGGATCTTCTGCTGTTGACTGTACATCAGTTGTACAATGTAAGGCTTAATTTTAGGAATTTCTAGTCTAACTAATTTCTAGGATTCTAATATAATACACGAGGTTTGATTTTTAAGTTTGAATGAAAAAGGAAGATATCGAGGTAATCCGGTATTACGCAATTTGTTACCGCCCCGGGCTAAGACTAAATTCGTCTCAGGCTTACGAGAAAAACGTCACCTCCAGGAGTTAATCGGGTATTGCGCAGTGCCACAAGTCCATTATTCGCCCTAGGCTATGAGAATAATAATAAGACAATAGTTTCTCCAGAACATACGATAAAAGTCGCCCTAAGAAGGAAGTAATTGGGCATTTCCTTAAGATCATTATTCAGGGCATTACTCAAATAAATGTCGCCTCAAATATTTATTATCGGGCAAGCTGTGACGCTAAAGCGTCTATGTCCGTATGAAAACGCTCATAATTAATTTATTAGTGAAAACACAAGTTATATAGAACAAAACAAGTGTAAAAAAAAAACTTAAAAATCTCACTTTGTATTGAACGAAAAGAAGAAACAAAACTTCTAAGAGGCTATACATCTCTTTCTTACTTTCAAATATAAGTATTTATCGAATGCTACCATTATCGTTGTGTTAACTACAAAAGTATTGTCTATAGAGCCACAAACTTATCCGTGATGCAGTGTGTGGCTCCTTTTTTCACGTCACAGATAAGTTTGTGGCGCTGGACCTTAGAGTTTATTGGTCGTAAACAGGAGTCATGACAAAATATTGTATTTGTGATATATTTGTAAACTTTATTTAGTTCATAAGCGAATGTTTTTTCTTGCCAAATAGAGACATTTTGTTGGCTTGTCTGAGCGTAGACTATATTATTGATTTAGACGATGTTGAACGTTAATTCTGTTAACAGAAGAAATCAAGAGTATAAAATAATTAGAAAAAAAGAATACATTATATGACAAAAATAATTAACTAAAATGTATAAAGAAATGAAACTGTGTTTTCGGATCCAAATTTGTTTTTTCAAACAAACCAATGTTTCATCATTTCCTATGTGTAACAATTGCGAAAACCTAAGAATTAAAACAAAAAACTAAATTTCAAAAATATATAAAATTGTAAAATTATAATCGACACTTACTTTGAAAATTAGTTCTGTAGGCGAAAGGTAAAGGCCCTTTATTCCATATTTTGGAAAAATGTATATGTTTTTACAAACATCGCTTTAGAATGCTAAAGACCACGTAATGGTAAAAGACATTAAATTATATCGTCGTTTGTTTTTATTTAACATATTTTATTTAACCCTAAGATTGATTTTAAATACCTAATTAAGAATCGATACTACCGCCACTCGATTTAAAATGTTTCCCGTACTGAATAGGTTCTATTGAACGGCAGATACACTGGCTTTATTTTAAAATTTATTTTTCACGAACGAAATCAGAGCCATTTCAAAAATGTATATCGTAGACTATATGTGTTCATTTAGTTCAGTTGCGATAAAAATAATATTGCTATATGTAAATTACTTATAGAATACAGCGGTTTTCTTGTAAAATCTAGGTGAATTTGTGTTTTTTTTTTCTATAGTGAAAATTTCTAGGAATCGTGTTTTCACACCGCATACTAATCAGTGTATATCCGCAATTTTACTATATATTTTTTCCAAAATGATTGATTCAACACTCATTGCGGAATCAGCCAAAGCCATTTGAGGTAAAAATAATGACTTGGCACTTAAGGTGCTTTCTCTACCTACAGAGTTGTATCTTGTAAAGTTTGTGAATCACATAAGAGGTTTGTTGTTAACAAATTTTTGATCAGAAAGCATGAGTCTGTTGATCTGGTTCTGAGTAGTAGGTAATCAGTGCTGGTTTTAGTGGTGAAGGGCTGTATAACCCACTCTAATACTAATTATCATTTGCCGGCTCTTGAGCATGAATAACTAACTTATATCCATTGTCATTGCTAGAGTATTAAGAAATAAGAAGGTTCATCTCATTACCTTTGATTCGTCAATATAGTATTTAGTGGTGCAGACCCGAGTGCTCGGAATTGAACTCGATCCTGCTAATTTAGCACTGCTGCTGATCCATATGCCTACAATATCTCGCATAAATTCTATTTTTGTGTTAGAAGTTACACTTTAAAAAAACAATAATAACCGAAATTTATATAGGCACAATATATTTACCTAAACTTCAAGGTACCTCCATCGGAAATCCCGAAATTTGTACTTTGTTCTTTATTTTTTCTATGTAACAAAGTTATTAAGGTAATTTAGGACACTTTTGTTATTGCCATAGCCATATAACTATATTGTTTTTGTATTAATATTGTTACACAGATTGAACATGCACAAAGAAAAATTCCTACGATCAGACTAGACTCGAAACAGTTTCTGTTACCTCACTGTGGCTACCGCTCTTACCAAGACCAAATATGGAAAAAATAATTTAATCCAAAGTAATAAATGCGAAAATAACTCTGTCTGTTTTTCTGAACGTTTTTACGCTTTAAACAAAAACCAATTTCGATGATTTTTGATGTAGACATAGATGGGACCTAGGGGAAGGACATGAGCTACTTTTTGTCACAAAAGGGATGAAATAGGGCACGTAAGTTTGTATGGAGAACCATTCATTTCTCAAGTAAGGGATCTAAAAATTCATATACTCAAAACAAACAAGAAAATAGTATAATACAGTAGGCTAATCGGAGCAATTATTATATGCAGGCGAAGTTGCGGGCACCAGCAAGTCACAAATTATATATCCACATTAAAAAATAGTAACAAGCATTATTAATACTTACATTAATTCATATTAGTTGTCGAAAGAAAACTATACATAAAGAATGGTTTAGTTTAGGGTTTTCTTTTGATTATTAACGAACTCATTATGCTAATAACTATAATTTACAATATATAGGCAATTTCTTGATAATTATTAACGGTTGTTGTTGTATCCATGGGTTGAAAATCACGAAGAAAAAAATGTCATTACTTATTACAATTCTGCTAGCGCACAAAAGATGATAATTTACATAATCCATTTCATGCAAATTTGTCAACGTCACGTTCTAGTGAAATAACCTGCCTCAATTTCGTTACGCCTTAATTGGGTAATTAAACAGGAATCCTCATCACCAGCCTGACCAAAGCCAAAGTCAAATAATCTTGCATATGCAAATTAATTACGCTTGGAATCGTCATACTGATTAAACTCTGCTGCTCTGCTCACTCATAAAGCAGATTTCTTTTTGTACTAAGTGACGACGAACAAGTCGTGCGCCTGATGGTAAACGACACGCCTGTCCTTATGGACTGACTGTTACTGTTATCAGTTACAGTGCCACTCAGAGCTTTAAATCGCAAAAATCTGAAGTGCACTGCGCTCGTCACCCTGAGACATAAGTTGAAAAGTCCCATGTGCCTGTAATTCCACCAGCACCCTTCTTACCCTTCTTGCTGTTCTTCTTCAAGCTGTTCAAACCCTATACAAAGACAACAAGCATATAGATAAATTCGGAAGATCTGCTGGCTCGATCTGCAACAGATACTGGTTCGAGTGCAGTCGGATCAAAGAAATTTCTTCGTGTTTTTTCGATCTTTGCATCAATAACACACTAGTGTGTAGTATTTTCACATAAAAATGATGGAATACTATGGTAGAAAAAACAAGCTGCGGAATTCAGGTTCAACAATATTGTCTACGCTAGACTATCATGTACTCGACGAATGTTAAATGTGAATTGTATGTAGAAGTAAAAGAGTTATTTAAAGCGGAAATGTTGAAACTTATTGTAATAGCTAAAACTCAAAGCAATAACTTATAGTACTTCATGTTTTTTGACTCGGTTTATTGTTATGGTTTACGAACAGCGTTTAAGCTTTAAAAATGGCAGTTATAAAATATATAAAATGAACTCCATGAAAATGTAGCTTGTTGTAAAGTCGTTGGTGTATTATACCGATTTTACAGCGCGCCATTCGCTGATCAGCGTGATGTACTGCTAGGACAATGGCGTATGCATGGCAGATATGAAATCTTTTGTCTTTCTCGCACATGTCGAACCAGATGACACGGGAAATAAATACTTGAACGCTTTTCATAAATATCTAGTTGAAAGACAATGATAAAAAGGTGATTGTACTAAACGGGTAACAAAACGTATTATATATTGCTAAGTTGTTTTGCTTTGTTCTGTGCATGGCGTATATGAACGCGCTATTAGTAAATTCTTTTTTTTTATTTCTGTTTTATTTTTCCTTTTTTTAACATATTTCTTTGTATTTTTTAATAAAATCAGTCCTTCCTCACTTACTGACGTAACTGATTATGGTTCGATCCTGTGTGACCGTCAGGATGACTGGTCGTCTGTCGCATCTGGCATTGAGTGTATATTCAAGAATTGCTACGTATTTGCTACCTTTTCTGAATAATTGCTACCTCTGACATATTCTGAGAAATCAAAAAAAAAAATTGACCATTCTGACGTCAGGATGGCTGGTCGCCACTTTGTTCAGCAATAAGGGAGCAGATTTTCCAGAAGTATTTATTACCAATAATTGCTACCTATTTGCTACCTTCACGAATAAAAAGGTATACGCTTTCTATCTACATTAGTTAAAAAAATATAAATGATTGAAAATTTTACTAGAGAAGTACCAACGCCTGCCATTTGTATTACGGCAATAAAACACTAAAAACTTTTGCTTTTTTAATTTAATCAGGCATTTCTTCGTAAAATTTTCAATCGGTTATATTTTTTTAACTAATGTAGATAAGAAGCGTATACCTTTAATTCGTGAAGGTAGCAATTATTGGTAATACATACTTCTGGAGAATCTGCTCTCTTCATGCTGATTTGCATTAGCCGCAACGTGACTATAGTCAAATTTTTGAAATTTCAGTATAAAGTCGCCTTTTAGTCTATTCTACTCGCAAAAAAACTAGATTTAGACGGTCCGCCATTCAAAAGTGATAAGGGTGTTTTACCTTCCACAATGGAATAAGCTTATTCCTGTGACTCCATTTCTCAACCTCT